TGCTACTTGGTGCCATTCTTGTGACAGAGCCCTCTTGACCCTAAACAAACATTCTGCCAGTAATCTAGTCATTAACTGCTTCCTGCTGCTTTAAAAACATTGCATCTAGGTGAGCCGCGAGGTAGAAGAGGTTTGCAAAAATAGCAGGGTTTGAATGTGGAGAACACTTCACGACACAGACATTTCAGTCTCAACAGCAGAGATGAACATACTGATCTCATGTCTATACATCAGTCAAACTTTCGTCATGACAACACACTCTCATACTCGGCAGATAAGAAAGGTCAGCGCAGATCTATGTGGGATTTACAGTCATGCATTTTACATGAATTGGGATCTGACAGATTAAACATTTCACCCCAAGCATAAATTTGGAGTGCAAAGGTTCCTTAAAATGAGGCATCTAATGCTCATGGAAAGCGATGAGATGGAGGTGACGTTGTGTTGAATATCTAATCTATGTATTAGCCAGTACATCACTGTGCTATATTTTGTAGGCTCCATATCAGTTGTCAGGGCAAGCAGTTTTTCCCTATTATTATGATGCAGTGCCTTCAGTTAAGAGTCATTAGCTGCAAGCAGAACAAACACCTTTTGAGAGAATCTGAGAGTCCCTCTAAGTCTGATGTTTTAAGCTGTCAGGCCTGTCATATTGATTTGAAGAGCTACGCATGACGCTTTCCGCTGGATGTTCAGAACTGCCTCTGAAAGCTGCATGGTGTCTACAAGAAACACCTCCAGTATAAAGTTTAAATAGCAGACACTGAAATGAGCGGTTTTAAGCTGACAGCATTTTCATTATTCCTTATTATTGGAGTACAAACAGTTCCCACAATCGCTGCTCAAAATTAAGCTGGCACTGCCATGTTTTTATTAATCACCTAATGTGTATTAAAACATCCAGTGCTAGCTTTTCTGTAAGTTCAGATACAAAAATATTGCATCGCAATTTCTGTGAATTGTGCTTTCTGGTTGCTGGCATGTGAAGGAAAGCTCTGCCTGCTGTGTGTAAGTCTAAGAGCTGCTCTCAGTCACCTCAGTGGAAATAATGTGAACAAGCAGTAAGTCCTGGTGAAGTAAAACAGAGCTGGCATAATGCTCATATTTAAACCTATGAAGTGATTCATCAGCAGGAACAGATGGCCTCTAAACAATAAACACTTCAATTTTTCCACCAGATGAATAAAACAAAGGGTGACAGGAAGACACACTGTTGTACAAAATTCATTCAGTTGTCATAAGATTATATTTCATACTACTACACTAGAAAAATAATTTGGTAAAAGTACTACATTTCTACATTTGATCGAATCCATTTTAATATTTTGTGGAGTATATCTTGAGTTTTCAAAATCTGAAGATCAATGATTATTTCAGACGATGTATTTCTTTACTTTAGTCACTGTACCTTCCATTGTTATGTATTTTGATATTTAATTGGGGTAGTTGATGTTGGTGATTGTCTATTTATTAAACTATTTATTAAACTCTTTAATTGTAAAATTGTTACAAATATGGGATCCTCATGTTATTCGTGTTATAGCCATGGGTGTAATCATGTCTTATGTAATGTATTGGTAGATGTTAAAATTTGTGTTATATACAGTACAAATGGAAATTGTTGAGCATTTAAATTGAATGTATAAATGTGTGTTTTTAAAGACTCAACATTGGCTAATGAATGATGACGTCAATATAATTAAGGATTTAAAAAGTGGGTGGAGGGAATTAATTATTCAATGCACTGAAGAAGGCCTTGAGCCGAAACATTTGTGTTTTGTCCTGCTGGTGATTAATGTAAAATAAAACTCTAAAAGAAGACTATTTTTATGACTGTGGATCATATAATTAAATAGACTGACGCAACCAAAATAAAATATTAAGTGACAAAAGAGTGCGGTGCAAACAGCTTTGTGGAAAGGTTCTATATTACACATTCGTTCAAACAAGCACAAATTCAGAATTTGTTTATTATTTTTTTATGTAGAAAGCTCTAACGTGTACATAAGTATTTCCATAATAGAATTGTTTGCTACATTTCACAATGAGTCAACTATTGGTAAAGGCTATTATCATTAACTAAAACTAAAACCATAAAAAAAAAAATTTCATTAACTGAAATAAACGTTAACAAAACATTAACAAATAAAATATTTAAAAATAAAAATTATAAAACTAAAATATAAAAATATAAAATACACTTAACTAACTAAAAACTATATAGACATAAAAACTAATAAAAATTACGAAAACACACAACAGAATTACTAAAACTTTACAATTATAATGAAAAAGATATCAAATATCATCTAATCTAAAATGTTAACGAAAACTATAATAGCATATCAATGACACTAAAATAATATCCTAAACTCGAAAAATCTTGTAATGTAATATTTATACCGATTTGAGTAAATTTCAAATGCAAAACAAATGAAGTAAAATCTGCCTGTATCTACTGTACACCCTAAGCGAGCAGCACAATTAGCATGAACAAATTAGATCTCTCCCATTATAATCAAGAAAGCTGCCTACAAGTCAGGAAAGCTATAGATATTATTGTGGGGCAAGCTAACAACACTCATAAAACAACAGAAAATATATTAGGAATACAATAGCTATGATATGAGATTAATGACCCATGCCATTAAAATCTAAGAACACTGAATAACATCTCATGATATTTGTAAAAACGCTGAACTGACCAAACCAGAATTTTCAGTAAGCAATAATTTCATTTGCTCACAGTAAATTTGTCTCCCACACTCTTCCTCCCCAATGGCTCAGAGCAATAATAAACTAAGCCGTTTTACTTACACTAGCTGGATAGCTTTAGCTGTAATAAGCCATCTCTGAACATGAACACCAAGTTAACAAAAGAAACTGTTCAAACTGTTCAACCATTAAATTACAAGCCTGCCTCTCAATCAAACTGTGACAAGTGTGCAGTTTCTCTGCAAGTGTGTTTATTGGTATGAAGTTCAGCAAAATACAGAATAACATCTGCAGTCATTCCTAATTGACTGACATTCGTATAGGGAAAAGATTTAACTTTTCAAATCACTTGCAGCTGTACAAAAATGCTGAGCATTTTGCCAAATCTGCAACATTTAGACAGTCTATGGTTATAAAAAGAAATTAGTACAGCTAAATATTTAAATGCTCTTGCCAAAGAGGTTCCTGACAAAGACCCCCAAAGCTAATTAGGCTGGAGAATGAAAAGCCCTCTTTGCTGCTGTGCAGTCATCCATGTCGGACAGTTAAAGGTTTGTGGATGTTCTTTCCATGGCCATGTGTGGGGGGCAAATCAATTTGGTTTATATTTAAAGGCAACAGCCATTCTGCACTTTGCTTCACAAAAGACCCATTACATCTCATTTCACATGGTTAAGTGGAATGGAGCCTCCCAAGCCATAGGAATCTTCATATCTTAGACACTGAAGAATATGAGTGGAGGGTCAATTGGCTATTTATAGTAAAATAAATACTTTGATCTGAATGGAAATTTAGTAAATCAAATAATTACCCTTCCTAATATGTGACAGGAGACCAGCCGATATTGTGAGAAGTACTTCACTGTGCTCTTTGAATGAAAACACAGCATCTGCCACATCAAAGTCAAAACGATAATCAAAACAGAAAGTTAACTCAAAACCTCTAAAATTCTTCTATGAAGACTGTAAAATACTTTAATACACAGAGTAAACACTGGCCAAATAAATGGAAATATTAGAAACTAAGCAACATATAAAACCATCATTTATCATTAACCTTAATCGACCCGCCATCTGTACCTCTACTTTACAATATTGGCCATAACAAACCATATTTAAACAGATGATGTAATGCATATTTTTCAAACTTGTTCAGTAAACAAGATACTTATTATCTGGACAAGCTCGGATGCTTTTCCCTTTTTGTTTATACTTCTTTTCTGTGTTTTCATGCCAAATGATCTTATAAGAAAGATCATATAGTGTCACATGATGATGACAACGTCAAGTGCAAGGATTGAACGAAACTGTAAGGCAAAATTATAGATTGAGACAGATGAGGGCTTTTATGTGGAGAGATGGGAGTGTTAGTCTGCCAGATGCAGCTAAATGCCATGGCTGGGATGGGTGGGGTGTTGGTGGTGAAGATGATAAGACTAAAATCGTTGGCTTTACACTTTAATCTGATTCTAGCAGCAACAGGAAGGCAAAGAGACATTTGCTATTGGCAACTTTGGATGCATATTGCTTAAAAAAAAAAGCTGTATATTTCCTTCGCCAGCATCAGCCTCGACATATAGTACTACAGGTAAAACCGAAAATGTGTTCACCCTACTGTAATACAAATCCACAGCCCTCACACTCCTAACCTTATACATAAACATTTACCATTGAATGGGAACAAAGTTTCCTTCTGGCCCTTTTCTGGCCTTGGGTTACTGATGATCCGGTCATCTGACTAAGCACAGAGCCATTACCTCAATCAGGGCTGTTAATGTTTCACTTCATGAAGCACAGCATGCATCTTCCTCAGTGATTCAGTACAAGGCCTCACATAAATGCTTTTCTACAGCAAAAGGACACAATGTCTAAAGAGGATTTAGGAAGCATTTCATTCAATACTATCTTAAGTGTCCTGATTGTATTGACTCATGTGACCATGAAAAATGATGGCTGCAGGTAATTTATTGCATTAATGAATTGCAATTAATTAGAAAGAAATTAATGCAATAACACAGTTAGAACAATTCATCTGGGCCTTGACCAGTATGGTCATTCCATAAAAAAGTGATTTTCCTTTAGAGCAATTCAAGGTTGAAGTACAACCTTTGTGTTTTCACGTGTTACACTTCACATCTTATTTAGAACAAATATTAATCGTAGAAGTATACAGATGAGATTTTCAGGAAAAAAAAAATCTAATATTACTGATAATACTGTAAACATGCTGTTATTTTACAAATATTATAGCAAAACATGAAACAAACCCAGATGTAAACTACTTACTTCTAGTCAATGGAGTTGGACGCACAATTCAAAATCTAACTCTCTGAACATATGGTCCAGCGTCTTCTGGTAAAATCTCAGATACACATTCCACCATGCATCTACAGAGATCTGAGGAACAGAGAAAATGATTCATTAATGTGAAGCAGGTTAAGGAAGTCAGACAGAGCACAGGGGACTGACCCAATTAAGAGTGTTTTTTGTAATGTACTTCCATATAGTGAGGAACGTCACATTTCATTTAGAAGCTACCGTAAACTGTTAAAGGCATTGAAAAAAAAAAAAACTATTTCTACTTAGCTACTTTCTACTTCTCCATTTATAAGTCTTTACCTGAACTCAGTAAGCCTTCAGGATCTTGGGTAGGGCTTTATCAATCAATGTTTTATCAGGAAAATATACTCTATATTTGAATCAATATTTCATCTATATTAGTGCTGGGCGATACACCGAATTATGCACACGTTATGAATTAAAAAAAAAAAAAAAAAAACGCCATACCGGTACAAGTGGCTACACAATGCTGTACCAGTACAGCATTGTGAACTGAGAGGAAATCCCTGTTAACTGCCCCAGAATTCTTTGGTAGTCATCAGATTTCATAATGCCATGCACACAGTCAAGACATCCAGTGCCTGAGGCAGCAAAGCAACCTCAAAATATCAGTGAACCAGAAGGATTTTGGCTTCCTCAGGTACGTTTTGGCAAACTCCAATCTGGCTTTTTTATGTTTCTGTGTCAGCAGCGGGGTCCTTCTGGGTCTCCTACTGTAGCATCTCTTTTCATTCAGATGGCAACGGATATTGCGAGCTGTCACTTGTTGTACCCTGTTCCTGCAGGTCAGCTTGAATTTGTTTGGAAGTTGACCTAGGTTCTTTATCCACTCTTTGAATCCTTTGCCTCTCAATCCTTTGTTGCAATCTTTTATTCATTTTTCTCTTTCATCCACATCCAGGGATATTAGCTACAGTGCCATGGGCTTTAAACTTCTTGACAATGTTGCACACAGTGGACTCATGAATATTAATATGTCTGGATACGGACTTGTAGCCTTGAGACTGTCCGTGCTTTTCCACAATTTTGGTTCTCAAGTCCTCAGACAATTCTTTACTCTTCTTTTTTTCTCCATGTTCAGTGTGGTACACATAGACACACAATACAAAGGATGAGACCACTTTTCCCCATTTTAATGCCGAGTTCACACTGCACGATTTTCAAAGTCGTCGGGTCGCATGCCAAATATTTCACGGGCGTCGGCGACGCATCGGCGGTTCCCTCAGATTGCATCTTTGATAATTCACACTGCGTGATTGTCACTCGCGTGAACGAGCACCGATTTGCCTCCGATTTCGGGCATTTGTCGGCGATTTTGCAAAACCTGTAGGCGAGTGAAAAATCAGGCTAAAATCGTGCAGTGTGAACTCGGCATAACTGGTTGCAAGTGTGATTTCTATATTGCCAGCACCTGTGAATTGCTACAGGTGAGTTTAATTACATTAGTATTTAATTACATAAAGATTTGGCTTTTTTTCCTCTGCTTTTTTGTGTTGTTCCAATGGAAACAAAAGAAATAAACATGAGAATACCAAAGCATTTGTAATTGCAACAAATTTCTGGGAGAAATAGTGCATTATCTGACAGAAATGCAGGGGTGCCAATATTTTTGTCCATCACTCTGTGTGTGTGTATATATATATATACAGTGGGTACGGAAAGTATTCAGGCCCCCTTAAATTTTTCACTCTTTGTTATATTGCAGCCATTTGCTAAAATCATTTAAGTTAATTTTTTTT